CGAACCGAACCGAGCGGTTCTTCATAAATTAAATACCCGAACGGGTACCCGAATCGAGAACCGATGGGTTTGGGTCGGGTCTCGGGTCTAGACCAAGAACCGAAGAACCGAATAAGAACCGAAACTAAATAATTTTTTTTATTTTTTATATTGAATTAATTAAATTAGTTTATTTTTTTCTAAACAAATTAGCAAATTAATTAAATAAATCAAATTATTTCATAACTTTAATTTTAAAGCCCAAATCATTTTTAAAGCACATTAGCTCATTTTAATTTGAAGCAAATGAATATACTTTATGTAGTGTTGCTGTAATATTGATATCTACTTTTTGATATTTGTATGCATTGAATTAATCTTATTGGACGGCTAGTTATTTATATGCAAACTATTTGATTAACACAAAAAATTCATTTCAATTTTTTTCCTAAAAAATTCAGTTAATCAAATGTGCTGTTCAATATAGGACTGAGGTGCTCAAATCTCTTCTATAGCCAGATCGAATTACCTAATGGTAGAACAAATGGAGGCATTCTCCAACATACCAGGCATGAGAAGGGAAAAGTGGAAAATTATAGAAGATGTCAAGATTGTTACTACAATACATCTGGTTTTGTGAGTGAACGAAATATTTTAATGACAGAAACTATATGTTATAAAACTGATAGGCAATAAAGAGACAAAAGCATGACAGTAAACTCAGTTACATCTATCTTGGAGTGCAATCACCAAGGTGAACACTTTAGCATCTGGAAATGCTCGTGACAATAAAAGCTTACCAATGTATTTGGAGTAAGTCAATGTAATCCGTATTGAGACGTTTAAGACTTTTCTCTACACTTTCCCGTATATTAGCAGCATCAACTCGCACAACCTTTGCATCATCTCGCAAGTATGCTGTTTGCTCGGAGTAACCAGCAACTTTTGTGGCCAAAATAACCTTGTTGGAGAAAAGTTTGCGGAAAATTCAGAGGCCATTTGAATTAGGAAAATGAACTTAAAAATGAAGAACGCAACGAGAGTACATATAAATAGAAGTTACAATAACCTGAATAATGAGCTCACTTGCATCATACAGTAAAATCAATTGGAGCCACCAAAAAACTTACTCCTGCTTGGTTCAAATGAATGGTTTTTCTTAGAAGGCATGGTTATTTTGGAGGAAAAAGAAAAGTGTAACATCTAAAGAGAATTGGGACGGCAAAAGGACTGTGTGCTTGATAAAAGGTAGAATTCTCTATTTTAAAAAGGTGAACATTATTTTGAGCCATCCAGAAAATTAAAAAACACATTCATTAATCATTATGAGATAAAGGGAGTATTATTTATCCGTGTTATGGGAAACCAATGGTGTTATTTATTTATACTGTTGTAAAGTTTATATCTGAAACAGAAAATAAAAGGAAGATTATTTCCTAATTGTGAATCATGATCAAGCTATTGCAATGTAGATTTTACTAACAAATAGCAGAATTCCAGAAATAAAAGAACGACTACTGCTGTTATTCACTATCAAAATTTCTCCAAATCATCAATTTCACTTGGCATTTCAGATGAAGCCTGTCAATACAGAAACTTTTAGAGGAACATACTAGAAAATTTAGGTCATTGCAGGAACTGAAAAATAACAAAAGATGGCAGAGTATCTGATCAATGATTCAATCTATATATTACATTCAAAAGATCAAAGCAACATCAGAGCTAGTCATAAAGTAGTCGGGAATACCTTATCTCGAGGTCGAGACTTTAACCAGCTACCAATATAAAGATCTGTCCTTCCTTGTGTCTCCTTTTTTACTGGAACTGGATACTTTTAAAGAAAAATGAAAAGGAGAAAGGTGAACTTGACTTCAACCATGTCTGGCAACCTAAAACTAAGTAAATTGGAGAAGACAGTAAATCTACCTAGTTCCATATTAAATAGAAAGTTATCTTTTCAATGGGTCTTTGAAAACAACCATACAATCTTTTGTTTTCTTCTTCTGGTCCATTCATTCTGAGAGGAAGGAAAGGGAAGAGAAATAATTTGGATAGAAATGCAGGAGAAAACTCAAGTTGTATTGTGAAAATAACGTGTTTTTTGCAAATTCTAAATTTTTTCTTCCTTTCCTCTCCAGTTATCGAATTGTAGAAGTCGTTAACTTTCCCTTCTCCTCAGACCGAATGGAGCACAGCTGACATAATTGATAGAAGCATTTAACACTGAAACTACTAACTACAAAGCCCAAATATGGAACAAAGAACTACTATATTATTAGATCCACACTTATAGTGGGACTTGAAATGAGCAAATCGTTAAGTACACAAAAATTATGTTCGCGCAGTATTTTGCAGTAGGGAATTAAGGCCTCAAATTAACATTAGGAAGTCTTTCATTTAAGTTTGAAGGGAGTTTTCGTGAATCCTAATTCCAAGTTCCAGATTTCGTACTGCAAAAAGCAAATACAAGAAATTATCCCCTTGACCCTTCCCATACACAAACATGTGCACGCGCATGAGTAGACTGAACAAAGTCACAAAATTGATTGCTTGAAATCGAGCTCATCAAGAGCGCAACAGTTACAGATTGTCACTGTAAAAGGGGTTGTGTAAGTATCATGAATATAGCGTCTCAATGATCAGAGTAAGTCTCTATATAACCAACAGAAAGCGAAAGTGCTGAGTGTACAATTTTTACAACTATATTTGGCAGCAAGTAATTATGGCTTATTGGCATTATAAATTATTTCACACTCCAACACTGAACCCAAGTCCCCATTTGTATGCCACCAAATACACATAATGATTCGACAACTTACCATTTCTGCAGTGTCTATAGCATTAATACCATTCTCAAACGAGTAGCTAAGCAATTCATGAGCCTCCTTCTCTGTATTTTGCTCCCCAAATGTCATCTGCACATGAATTCCCAATAAAAACTATCTAAATTCCATTGAAAATCAGCAATGCATTCAATAAAGCTACCTGATTAGTCAAGCAACTGAGTACATTATAAGCCTTCTAGATCATGACCTCGGGCAATAATAATAGTTAGAATTAACAGAATTTTATTCGAATACTCACAGTGCCCATAGTGATTTCGCTAATAACAAGGTCGGAATCCCCAAGTTTTCTGTACTGTAACGCATCTCCTTTTACACTGACAATTATGCTACTCTTCTTCTTCTTCAAATAAAGCCCGAGTTTCCTCCCGCCATTGCTCGGCGGCGTTAAGTGGCGCGTGAAGTTACGGCGAGAGAGAGTGTAAGTCAAATTTCTGTTGTTGGAGATAAACCCGGGAATTACAGAACATGACGATGAAGCCATGAATTTTCTTCGATTGAGTGAGACTATAGTTAGAATGAAAAATGTTTGGGTTTGGAGAAAGAGATGATAACGTTTTTGCCTTCTTTTCCGGAGCAATCATGCTACACGTAGACCTTTCTTTTCATCTTTCACGTGTCTTCCAGATTTTGCGAAATGACCTATCAATAGTGGTTTTTTAAGATTTTTGT